CCCCGGAGCCAGCGGAGCGTCACCCACTAAATTCAAGTATGCATATACTCCGCATTTGTAATAATATATATTTACATATCGTGGCGTTAGGTGACGCTCCGCTGGCCCTCCGGGGGCACTGCCGTGGAGGCCGATTAGCTTTATCTATCCCATCCTTACCTATGGGCAGCTTTATTATAGCTTTTTTACCGCCACATTGTAGTTCATGGGCAGCTTTATTTTGACACACTATTATATCTTCAGGTAAATCGGCCTTCTATTACCCGGGTTTATGCAGCGCTGTAAATTGCTCATCCTTTCACGTGCCACCCCTTTAGGCCAACCAGATTTGTGTGAATTGGAGTACCAAAAGAGTTACACCCTGAACGGTTCCGCGCTCAGGTGAATGAGTAGGTGGACTGCTGCCGCCAGCATGTTGCTCAGTAGCATGGCATGACATGTTAGCTAGTGTGAATTGCTTGCCACAGCAATCTCTCATTCCCTTCATAAACCTGCCAAAATCAAACCTCTTTGCACTGCTCCGTACCTTCGTCCCGTGGACCCTTCTTCAACCCTTCGATCACTTGCTGGCGGATTTCGAGACTCAAGAGCATTGCGAGAAGTCTACCAAGATGTCCCAGCACGTGCAAGTCATCTTCCATGCTCCACTCGTGGATATGAGGATGGATGGAGCGGATCCAGCACCTGAAATCCAATGTCTCAGAGAGTCTACCACACCGGCAGATTTACAGGATTACGATACATGCGCCCCTGAAGCCGATGTCTTATTCTACAATCGCAGTAAGTCTCCCCCTGCCATCCGTATAATGGGACTGACAATATCAATCAAGGTGAATGGGCAATTACGACGACCGCCATGACAGTCATGCCCGATGGCTCGTTCTCTGAAGAGGGCTCTGGGACCTCCAAATTCGTCAATTGGTTTCAAGAAAAGCCAGCTTTCCATCCATTTCCAAGACTGCCGCTCGAGCTTCGTCGACAGATTTGGAAGCACGCCCTACCAGCTCCATCCATCTTCTACGTACGCGAAAGTAGTTACATCTATGCCCCGTATATCATACGCGTTGATATATACCGGCAGAAACATTCCGTCGCAAAATCACTGATTCTTGCTTGCCGGGAATCAAACAAATTGTTTCTCGAGAACTACACCCACGTTCGTCACCTAGCCGATCATGAATCCGCCAGCCACCTAGGACCTTACCTTCAGAATCTCGAATTACAAGCGGAAGGCCAAGCTGTGAATGGTCTTGGAATACACATTCAAGGTCGTAACGAATACTTTGATCTTTCCCGAGACACAATTTTTTGGGGGGAAGTATCCGCAGATACACTGCATAGATTTGGATTTATATTTGACGCCTCAAGAATAAAGCATCTCGCTTTCACTCGAGTAACTCTTAAAGAAGAGTTACAATCTGTGGAACTCGAAGATAGCATGAAAGAGCTCATACAACAATGCTCTCGGCTCGATTCTCTCCGCATAGTATTACAGGAACTCGATGGCGACGTGATTAGCTTGAGTCGCCCGGCCCCCGCTGTTGGCTACGAACCATGTTTTCTTGAGGTCGATAAGGATTTTCTGGAAATGCTTCCAGCGCATCCAGCGCAGGATATTTCCAGCTGCTGCAGAAGATATCACTGGGAAGCAGAAAGATGCAGGACTCGGGTTTCAGCACTCGCGGACGAAGAAGGGAACACCATATGGAAGCATATCAACTTCAAGGTGTCCGTAGTGGCATTGAAGTATGACGCAGCGTGGTCTCTTGAACGCACACCCGAGCGTCTGGATCTAGTACCGTTGCATCCTCGATACTATGGAGTTCGATATTGGACCAGCAAGCCCAGAGGAAAAGTGGATACTACAATGTTAAGGATTGAGGTGCTGGACAGCGACGTCTTTTGCTTTAGAGATGGAACTTTAGTCACGGATTTTGACCAGCAGATTTTGGACTGGGATGGGATGTACTAATACATATCTTCCTCGATTACAACTAGTATATGGTTGATCAGTTCATTGCTACAGTCGCTCTTCTGTAAAAGTAATAGAAATCCTAGTCTTGAAATTGAAGTGCTCGAACATTAACTCGATGGTTCTTTTTCCCTACTATATCAATTCCATTTTTGACCCTGGAAGAAACTGTCGCTTCCAGAGCCGAATGCCAAGACAATACCAGCATTATCTCGCTTAATTAAGGGGTTCCATTAGCATTCTATAATATTAGACATTACTTTGTAAGTTTTACCTAGGCAGATTCAGTATCTAAATCTACATCTTGCCGCTTCGGTTTAAGCTGACAGCTCTACGACGTAGCTGGACCTGTCAAGCAAAGCCTTGATTCCGTTTTCTGTGTTCCGCCCTAGTGATCTGTTCATGCAGGGTTCTCGGAAGGGAAACAGTCATCGAGAAAATAGGGACATTTGAGAGACATTCGGATCTAGAACTGTATACTAGACAATCATCCTTAGATTGGAATGCAGTGGCTAACTTACTTTACTGTTCTTAATTTCCTCGCCAACGTGATCTCTGATCGTGGAATTGCGTGAGATGATAAGCTATTTTGGTATCCATTTGGGCACGCTCAGATGCTACTCAGGGATTGCAGTTGCGTCCCACAGGGCTCCAGTTATAGTCATTCTCGATCTCCTCAACGAGCTCCGGGGCCGTCTCCCACTGCATCAAAGCCCTGCCATGACACCGAATCAGGCTCCAATAATGAACAGCAATGTTCCCAGTTTCAATTTAAAAATTCTTGCGATAATTCCGCGATTCTGAATTGGCCCTATAGCCATTATTAATAGCCATTGCAAAGCCGTTGTTACCAAGGAGCCTTGCAGGTATCATTAGCTCTCACCCGTAAGGAGCATATCGCGGAACCGGCAGCGAAAAGCAGCAACGAAAGAGAGAGTTCAAGACAACTGACCACAGCCATAATCCCCTACTACTCCACCCTGAAGATGCTAATCTGATCGAAGGCAGCAAAGTCTGCCACACAATGTCATTACTTGTACTTAAAGTGCCCTCCAAGCCTTCTCCATCCTCAATATCGCTGTCCTTCCACCTCGTACCTTGCAGGGACTTCTCAAGAAGATGATAGTGCGAGGAGGGTGGTCGGATTATGATTTCGTGGCTTTCAATAATATGTAAATGAGAGAAGGGGGGTCAAAGAAAGGGTTGTAGCTTGAAGATTAGACTGACTGTACACTATATTGCAAACGAGTTGGCGGGAAATATGCAGTCTTGACATCGTGGGATCGGAGGGTTCTGTTATCTTACCGGGGAACTTCTGATTAGTGAGAATGGAACTGATAACGGAAGAAACCAGACAGTGCGGGACCAACCACCAAGATGCCGAGGAGATAAACGAGCGGGAAACAGTGAAAGTCATTAGTTTGTCATCTAGATATTCCTACCTCCAGTAACCATGATGACCTGCCCAGTGATGTAACTAGACAGCGGACTTGCCAGCATAAGAATACTGCTCGCCGCCTCTGTAGCCGTACCCGCCCTCCTCAATGGAATATCAAGATTCGCATCCGTGGATTGCGAGCCCTGTCCCTTCGGTATGCCCAGAGCAATAGTCTCTCCATCAGGCGTAGTGACAAATGCACCGTCCTCCTTTGCAGCCGTTAACCTAGTCAAGATATGTCCAAAGGCAATCGAGTTTGCTCGAACACCGAACTTGGGGCCCCATTCCTTTGCAATCGTTTTTGTGAGGCCGTTGATTCCAGATTTCGCGAGGCTGTAGTTGGCTTGTCCGGCATTGCCGTGGACGCCGGAGGTGGAGGAGATGTTTATGATGCAACGTGGCTCGCCGTCGGTAACGCGAAAATAAGGGGCGGCTTCGCGGACGAGCTTGAAGGGCGCGGTGTTGTGGAGGGCAATTATGTTGTCCCATTGTTTGTCCGTCATCTATCACACCCCGCATCAGCGTTGCTCGTTCAATTCCAAGGGATCTTCTTGTTTTGGCATATTCAGGCCTAGCATTTCCCACGGATCTGCCAAGCAGCGGATACCTATGTGGTGTTGAAGGGTCTCGAGTCTTACTTTATGTATGACGCCATCCCAAGTATAGCTATTGAAGATATCAACGGGAGGTCTGGGAGCGGGGGGAGGATTGCTTGCTTACCCAGCATTGTTCACAATAATGTTAATCTTGCCATTTCCGAAGTCTACTGCCTTCTTGACAAGAGTCTTCAGGTATTCAGCATCTAGCATATCCCCAACAACGGCAATTGCATTTCCACCTGACTTGTTGATGCTCTCAGCCACACCTTTTGCTTTAGCTGCACCGTGTAAGCAGGTATCTACCATTCGAGTCTAATTATGCCTACCAGCGTCGATATCTGATATAACAACCCTGGCACCCTCATTTGCAAAGAGACGAGCTGCTTCAGCACCAATGCCTTGCCCACTGCCTGTGATGATAGCTACTTGGCCGGCAAGCAGACCCTTGGGGTAGTTGAGATGGCCAGCAATCTGTGACGCGCGTTCTGCCATGGTGGATATATTTGAGATATGTAGGTTCAAGATATGATTAAATTAGAGAGGTCTTTTAAGTGGGAGGGACATGGCATGTTAAAGCACAGCCGTTGAGTCGAGTTGTGATATAAAGATGTGGGGAAATACTAGTAACTTCCCCGGATTTTAAAGCCGAGGCTACTATAGAGAGAGATGCCGATGCCGATAGCCTCGCGATGATCTTACAGTATTAAACTTTGAATAATTCGACTATCAAGATACCAATTACCTTATGCATCTAATATAATTTCAGCTTATACTTTCGGTTCCTCTGTGATATTTCAGGTATTTGCTGCCATACTTTCGTCGTATAGGCAGACTCCGACTAAATCTCGACACGCGGTCTTAAGACATCTCCCGAGAATCCCCGAAGTCTTAGGATTTGTTTTGGGGGAGGACGGGAGGGGTTCAAATAGCTGGCAGACCTACCTACCCATGGTTGACACGATCACTTAGTATAGTGGATAATCCCCCTAGGTCATTGATGGTATGGGCAGCTCTCTCTGTTGAAGCCCAAGACGGCGAATTTCTGGCCGGCAGCAGGAATAACAGGTACTTGAGCCTCAGTTAGATATACCTTGGCTAGCATCTGCAGTCCAGCAAGCTTGTATCCACAGACACCTGTGTGCTGTATGCTAAGTCACAGATTAGGCAGTAATAGCCAGTTTTCTCCCCACAAGCTGCAAGGCGCCAGGGACAGGCCTCGAAAGAATAGAACAGCACAACATCAAGTATGGTCAAAAGCATTCATTTAAGGTTCGAGACTGGTGTATCTGCTGCCTCATCCATGTTACGCTTCCATCCTAAATCCCACGAACGCCATATTCTCCATGCCTTCGACCGTCCATTCGTATCGCTGCAAGATCTCCTCATCCACAGACTTATTTCTTTCCGCTCTTCTTGATTCCTTGGCTTCCGGTGTTGAGGGGTCCTTTGCTGCCTTTCGCCTTTGCGGCCATCTCAGCCTTGGCTTTGGCATCTGTCGCAAACAAATTAGTAGGAGTGCACGTCGTTTGAGATAAATCGTTACCTACCAGCTCTTGTCTTTTCAGCGAAGGCCTTGTCTTCTTCATCCATCTCGCCCTTTGGGGCCTTCTTTGGGGCCTTCAAAGGCTTAGCCTTGCCACCTATATATTTGATTAATCTGCGGAAGCAGGCTGATAAACGACGCTTAGCTTACCTGCTCTGTCGGCGCCTCCCATTTTGTATTTTGATAGTCTGAGTGAGTGTGGTGTGGGGTGGGCGTGTAGAGTTCTGTGGCCGTGGAAGTGAAGTGGGATGTTTTGTGTACAGAATAGAACTTTGGAGGGGCAGATGGGTTTTGAGGTTTTTATGCCGCCGCCCTGCGCCTGGACCCTTCCCGCTAGTGACGAATAAGGCTACTCCAAAAGTTTGAATCCTTTGATATCGGCGGGACGTCTTGTAGTCATTCAAACCTGAATACTTCAATTTCGCGATCATATATCCCCACCGCCACATAGAGCTATTCTCGATTCCAATATTATGCGCTGAGAGTCTAGAGGAGACGTGATAGATTCCCGGTTGGACTCTTCTCACATTGAGACTACACTTTCTGAGCCTTGGCTAACACAACTTTTCCACCACAAGGGAGGGGGTCTACCGTCCGGGTACCGCAACTGCATTTGCACACACAATATGGCTTCTCCAGCCAGTTCTGATGAGGGAGAAATACGGGACGGGGGTGTAGAGAAGGCAACTACGTCGCTGGCTCAGTTCGAAGGCACTTCCGTTGACCGTCAAGACAGAAACCGAACCAGTAGCTCTACCTCGAGGTCGCCTGAAAATGGATACAGATCAAGAGATAGGAGATCCCACGAGAGGAGCAGGTCTCCACATTCCGAACGCCAACCTCGAGGCTTTAAGCGTCCGCGGGATGATGACTACCCCGACAGGTCTCGAGATACTCGGAGATTTAAAGTTCACTACGAAGACACGCCCCAAGATTATCATCGCCGCTCACGAGTATCCTATGAAGACCTAGATCGAACATCCGGCGCTTCTTCCGACCTCCGGTATGATGAACGCGATAGGCACTCCGAGAAACGTCCCCGAACGCGCAGCCGGTCGCCACCATATAGATCAAATCGTGGTGGAGATGTTTGGACACGAGGTGGGCAATCGAGGAGGGATGTAGGCCATTCTAGGGGCTCTGGCCACAGGGATACCAGAGGAGGTTATCACGCCAATGGTTATGGAGGAAATCGGGAAAATAAGGACCAGTCAGTGAGCAAACGAGGACAAAGCCCGCTGCCTGCTGATAATGCAAGACACGAGGCTAAACATACGCAAGGGAATCCACAGCAGTCTTCTGATAGAATTGCAAATAATAGCGAGCTAGCAAAGTAAATATCTATGCTTCCTCTAAGTAGACTGATGGCTAATATTCTTACAGGAGAAACAGTGCCGCCGAAAATCTCACTATCGAAACCCCTGAGGAAGAGCCTCTTGATGAAGAAGCTCTGATCGAGCAACGACGGAAGCGTCGTGAAGCAATCAAAGCTAAGTATAGAGGTTCTGCTACACCCTTGCTGGTACAAGCCTTGCAACTGGGAGATAAGACAGGAGAATCCATACCTTCTCAGCAAACCAGCAATACTTCTTCGGCTCGGTCAGGTGAGCAGGTCTCTTTGCGGTCAAAAGTACTCACTAATCTAGCCTTGTCAGCCTCGCCTGTTGTCTCGGCTGCGTCTACTCCTGCTGAAATGCAGGACGTAGGTTCGCCGACAGACTTCGCAATTACAAATGATCAGGATCTTGCCAATACAACCGGAGAGACCGCAGGTGGTGGCGAAGATGATGATGGGCCATCAGCAGCTGATTATGACCCAACAGCAGACATGAGAGAAGACAGTCAGCGAGATGTCCAGAGACATAGCGATGAAGTATCCTCCGGGGCTTACGATGAGACCAAGCCAACCACCGATCAAGATGTTTTGCTTCCTGCTGAGACTGCTCCAGCCGTAGAAAACCCAAAGAAGTCTGCTGATGAATTTGACATGTTCGCCGACGACGACGATGATGATATGTTTGCTGAAGATCCCGCTCCCAATGCAAATGCTGCTCTTAGACCATCCGATGATGGGGCCAAAGCTGTTGCAATCCCCACTGCCAAGGAGCTTGACATTGGGATGCTTGACAACTGGGACGATATCGAAGGATACTATAAAGTCATTTTGGGAGAATTGCTCAATGGCAGATACCACGTCCAGGCAAATCTTGGGAAAGGTATGTTCTCCGGGGTCGTTCGAGCTACGGATGTGACGACGAAGAAACTGGTGGCGATCAAACTCATTAGAAACAATGAAACGATGTAAGTTCTATGACCAATTATTCAGAAGGGATGCTGACTGCTTTACAGGAGAAAAGCCGGTATGAAGGAGATCGAGATCCTTCAAAAGATCAACGAGGCCGACCCAGAAGACAAGAAGCATATGATTCGACTCGAGCGACATTTCGAGCACAAAGGTCACCTCTGTATGGTCTTTGAAAATCTGAGTATCAATCTGCGTGAGGTCTTGAAAAAATTTGGCCGCGATGTGGGCATCAACCTGAGGGCTGTTCGAGCTTACGCTCAGCAAATGTTCTTGGGTTTAAGCCTGATGCGCAAGTGTAACATTCTCCACGCTGACTTGAAGCCCGACAATATCTTGGTAAGCAGCTCGCACCGTGGATTCAACCGAAATTTCTAACCATGAATAGGTCAACGAGACACGGAACATGCTCAAGATCTGTGATTTGGGGTCAGCATCCGATGCATCGGATAATGAAATCACTCCATATCTTGTCAGTCGTTTCTATCGTGCGCCGGAAATTATTCTAGGAATGCCTTATGATTTCGCCCTTGATGTCTGGTCCGTTGGTTGCACCCTCTACGAACTATACACGGGTAAGATTCTATTCACGGGTCGCACCAACAACCAAATGCTCCGCTCCATTATGGACTGCCGCGGCAAATTCACGACCAAGATGTTGAAGCGTGCACAATTCGCTCACCTCCATTTCGATGAGATGGCCAACTTTAGAAGCGTCGAACAGGATAAGCTTACAGGAAAGGTATGTCTATTTTTGTTTCATCCATGGGAGACTAGAACCATTGTGGCGTCTAGTAACAACAATCCGCTTGTACTGGACCCCACAGCGCTGTGCCTCCCTCCCACTCTTACTCCTCAAAATAGGAAAAGGCTTTCTGACTAACGTACGATTGATTAGGACATCATCAAAACCCTAACTTTCGCGAAACCGTCGCGCGATCTCAGAACTCGCCTCATGTCTGCATCAAACGGGCTAACTGAGTCGGAAACAAAGGAACTGGCTCTATTTGCAGATTTATTGGATCGCTGTTTGGCGCTTAATCCGGAGAAGCGGTGCACGCCTGCTGAGGCGCTGAAGCATCCTTTTATTACCAAGATGGCAAGATAGATGGAAGGGTAAGACCTAGTAGCGTTGAGCTTTGAAAATCCTACGGCGCATGTTGAAAGTCGCTCAGAAATATAGAATAGACTTCTAATAACAGCATGCGTTCTCCACGAGTCTCGGTTGCAGGTGTTCTGGTGGTGTTTCATGACTTAATAAGGATTGTATGATGTACTGACATTAACTCTGACATCGCTTTCCTATTCCGACATCTCATCTTCGCCGACAAACTCCATGGGTCCCCTTTCAGCAAATACACTGCCATTCCAGACTTTGTATACCTTACCTATATACATAAATGCCTTTTCAATAATATCTCCCACCGTTGTTGATATTTCTAGCTCTTGCTCCAGAGATGTTTCGCTCATTTTCTCATTACCCCTGTGAGGTAAGAGACAGATTAGAGAAGTCTGTTTATAACAAACACGGCATGTTTTTCTTCCCTTCTATTATGTCTTATCTTTATCATTATTCCATACATAGACTGGCTATTAGCATTCGTCAGACTCTCTACTGGGAGACGGGTTTGCATCTTTTGAAGTTCCGTCGTTCTGGAGAACTTGCCGGGTAAAGAGCAGTAGTTGAGAAGTGCGCTGGGCTTTATTGCCTGTTGTGGAGATTCTGGTGGGTTACGGATTATTTACTGAATGATATATGCTTTTCCTTTGGGGTTGGAGTAGAGAGGAGCGAAGTTTAGGTAGTACCTGGTAAGACTGAGCTCGGGATTATGAATAGATGCTGTGGTGAATTAGAGTTGAGAAAACTAGATCTGGTGACTTCTTAGGTACAGTTTCTTTGCTTTTTTATCCATGGATATATTGTGAGGGGATAGTAGATGTATCTTGTTATTCCGGATCAGAAAGTTTATGATGTAACAATAATATTCACGAGTGAAGTGATGTGCAAGTTGTGTCGTAGTTGCTTAGGTTTACTAGCTTGTATATGATTGAAGGATGAAATTGTAGGTTGCTTGGGAGGTAAGGGGGCACATAAGAACACTTCATAACGGGGTGAGGGTTTGAGAACTAACACATCCTATAGTTTCTAGAACGAACTTGCAATTTTTCTCAAGTAGTCTAGGGATAAGTTCTCAGTAGGCTTCTAAGCTAGATAAAGATAACGACATGCCTAAAGGGGCATAAAACATATCACCAAGGATGGCGTATGGCGCATCGAGTTACGCGTACCGCGCGCTAGCACTTCCTGCCTACAAATCCGTCGTGAAAGCGTATAGATCCCGAACTCCTGGCACTTCATCCTTATCCTCCACCCATGACATGAATCCCAGAAACCGAACTCCAGCAAGGCTGACGTCGTTGAATCCCTCAGCTTCCGCTTCCAGCCTCCATTCCGATCGGTGCTTCCGCAGGAATATATAGCTGATCTACAGTACCACGGCTCGGGAAGGATCCCGAGGAAGCGACCCCACTGTTCCCCCCTTTTCTGTCGAAGCGAAGGAACAATACGTTCCTAATCCTTCCTCTACTGATCGAGCCTTTTTATGAGAGAGAGATAGAGGGGAGAGGGATTAGAAGATGGGGTAATATGTATAATTGGAGGCGCTGTAGCTGATGGACCCAGTATAAAAACAGTAACAGAACCAGTTATCGCTGTCTTCGTCGTTTTCGAGGGAGCGAGGGTTGTAGGGGATGTATGTATGGTTGCTTGCTTCTCGCGCTTCCTTCATTCGGTTTGAAGTTGTGGACGGGGGTGTGTAGCTTGGTGGGGGTTGGAGATGTGGTTGGGGGGGTGTGGATTTGGTATGTGTTGTGTGGATGCTTTGGGGGTTTGAATGGATGGGATTTTGGGGGGAGTATGTTGGTGGTGGCACTTGTGGTGAGGATGAAGATGCCAGGGGATGAGATGTGAGGGGTGCTGAGGGATTTGGACTGAGTCTTGGGGTGTATGGTGGTGGTTGGTGTCTGGTTGCCGAGTAGTGTGGTGGCGACGGCATTGTAGACTGGAAAGTAGAGACTGACATCTCTATTTTCGCTTCCTTCACATGGATATTTGATGACTTATAATCTATATCCGACTTATTTGACGATGTTCTGGTTGTGTATAGAGTAAAGGAGTGACAAAACCTCAAGGGTAATTGAAGCAAAACAAGGGGACAAAATGGAAGAGGAGATATATGCTAACATCGAAACCTTTTACAACACGTTGGCTTCAACAGTAGGCATTGGTTTTTAATGGGGGGGAGAGATGCGCTGGCAGGCTGAAAACGAAACGGCGATCTAGCTCACGTCAGAGAAGCTCAGCCTTTCGTGATCCAACTCTAAATCGGTTCTGATTCGAATAAGGTTCGCGAGAATCATCCAAACGCTTGTTTTTGATATTGGAAACTGCACCTAAACTTTATTGAATCCATGCTACTTGGTGAGGGGTTGGCCATCACTTAAAACAACGCCAAGTAGAGAACTTTTGCATTAGAAAAAACATGTGATAATCGAACTAGAGATAGAACGCAACTGCGAGTTAGCTGTTTGACGTTGCTGAAAGCAGAAACTAAGACAGAAAGTCTCAGCCTTTTAATTACAATCTTAATACGACGAATAGAAAGATGTGTTATTTCTGGAACGTGGGGAAACTTTGTGTCTGGGCGAATGGGGTGGTGGTGGGCCGAAGGATCAATAGCCTTCAGGTCAGCCTTTTAGTCTGCAGGAGTGGTCGTCGTTAGGGTCGTCAGATGCTTGCGTAAGGACATCCTCACGGATCCTGTATATCGGGTTTGTCGGGTTTGTTTCAACTCCTTCAATCCACGACCCATGATGATGAATTGATTACACAAAGATAGAAACAAAGATACGACTCGACCGAAATGCAGCGACTTCACTCATTCAAGCGCCCAAGAAAGCCAAAATAGATAGCCATACCCCATTCAAAGTTTCGAATAAGATATTTATGATGGTCAACCTCGCTGAGAAGACTTTTGACATTTGTGGATGGTTTGACGAGGAAGTGAGTGCCCGAAGGGCTCGACAGGATTGCAGTTAGATATTGAGATAAGCCACGGTGTCTCGTGATAGAAGCAAATAGAGAGTCGTCCAAAAATGAGCACTCTAATATTCAGTTCATTTTGATGAAAATAATAGAGATCGAAATAGCATTTTTGGAAAATTTAATAATAAGGTGGAACGGCCGACTTGGTGATGAGGGGTCGGGCGATTTTAATTATGGAAGCGGCTAAGGCGTCTTATGAACTAAACTCCGAGTGCTTTCTAATTCTGAGTATCATAAGAAAATAATCATATAATCATAAATGAAGCTACAAGTGTAGAGATAATACTCGCGTGTATCAAAACATTTCGACAAGCGCCGGCCATCGTAGGGCAGAAATAATGATAACATTCCTGTGCCCCATTCGCAACTTGTGTACCAGCAAATCAAAGTCATATCATGTATGTGAGTGAATATTGCTATTTTCATCCTCAGCTCAGTGCGGGTGCTTCCCCACAATGTTTGGACTTGGACTCGAGCGCTTCCAGCGAATGACAGGCCGTGCCGTATCGACGTTGGAAATAGCTTCACCCCAGCATGCCACTTGCAGTACAAGTGATGGACACAGCAGCAAAGCGGCAACACGTGCATACCATTCCGGTCTTGTCTGGTCGTCATGCAGATTTATGGAACACCAAATTACATGTCGGCTATGTTGAAATAACTCTATTAACCTTCGCCGCAACCTCACAGACTTATTGATGCGATGCACTTTATATCTGTTTCTGCATTGTTGTTCCGTTCCATCTATACCTCCGTACCTTGATCTTGCCTCGGCCTCCGTGAAGCAGAAATAGACTTCAGATTTAAATGCCTGTGCAAGCAGGGTGTTTCGGCCCAGCACGATCTCGTGATACGAAGCAAAACTGGGGATAGGAATGAGGTGAGATGTGCCGGCATGGAACATGGTTCACATGTTGGAAACGGCTCTCAGATGGCAGGATCCAGGATGCAGATTATGCATACCTCCCTCACCCCAAAGCAAAAAAAGAAATCAAAGAAAAGAACCCGAGGAACAAAAGACTAAGCCTTATCCCAGGAGTGCAGCTGAATCTTTCACTTGAAGCTTCGGATACGTATAGTATCAGTTCTCATGTGTTGCCGCTGTAGTGCGAGGTCACTCACTCGTATGCACTTAGCCAACCGTGAGACAGAAAGTCACATATAAATGGTGAGCAACACAGATGTTTCCGCAGTACGGTCCTGTATAAGGCCAGGTTGTATGTATCTTGGTAAATGCGCTGGATGCAGGTAAGACGGCGGAAGTTATGAAGTACGGAGTACCTCCGTACGGCTTTCTGCAGTTTAGGGGCTCATAAGAAGTGACTCACGTGATATGCTGGGAAGCTCTGCTCTCATGTTGCACGAAGCCCTTCGCGAAATCGCGTGCAGCATCATTCCTTCTCAAGAGTGAGTGGCCAGGCCTTGTTTGACACCACACCACACCATACCATCTGTTTGCGCCTCGGGAAACGAATCTCACTCGCAGGATCTGCTTCTCAATCCTTTCGGAGGCACCTTCCTTTACCTGTCCTTGAAGGCTTGAATCCACCCACACCAGCGCCAGTACCGTATGAGGCAAAATTCAATACTGCGCTGCACAAACCCACGAATATCAATATTAGCGAAGTAAGAATCTAAAATCCGTTATCGATATGTAAAACTTAATTAAGATTTGGTGTAGTTAACTCTCCGAAGAACAAGACTGGCGGTGAGTTTCAGGGGCTGATTGATTGGACGGTAGGCAGTTTTGGGTCAAAGCTCATTAGACACAAGTTGTGTCCAATAACACGCAAGGCTGGCTGGCCTACCTGCCTGTTGGAACTCTGTAGCTTGAAGCCTCAAGCGGGAGCTCTGGCTGGTGGCTCGTGAGATTCTTTAGGCGGCTGGTAAAGTTACCATGCCATCCCGTCTCTAGGATGTATTTTGTTATGCTGGGGAACAGCGGCAAGCAGAAAAGTGAGAGAAGGCTGGCATTTGCAGGTGTAGTGCTGTTAGTCGATGTTTCCTCGACGTCGATCACAATGACACCAGTACCTGCCATACAAAGTACTGTAAACCGCAAGGCCAAAACTAGTGATGGCTGAGGCATGAAACTCACGCAGTGCAGTGAAAGTTCCAGCCTGCATGGATGGCGTGGATTATGCCCTGTTTATGCACGTTTGTGCAGAGATAATACTTCGTACAAGTAACTGAGCAATGCAGCTTGACCAGCGAGGCTGTGGAAAAATAAGCCGGCAGTATATAAAGAAATAGCCAATAGATGATTCAAAGGAAACTATTGGCTGCAAAGCACAAACCAAGTGGTAAACTATAGGTTCATGCTAACTATGAGTGGCATATAGTGGGTAAATAAAGCATAGATTAACGCGTACTTCTTTGCAGTTACGATACCATTAGTCACAATTGGGGCGTGGATTTGCCTCTACGGAGTAGAATTAATATTCTTTTCTTAGTTAGTTTCCATATTCCTTGTCAGCGTGCCGGCGATCCTTGTCTCGCTTTGCATCGCACAGCGCCACCGGCCCACTGCCCACGGCGAGACATGCACAAACCAATCAGTGGCAAGCAGTCCCGGCGATCCAGCCTCGAAAGCAGCCTCACTTCTCCCAGAGGCGATGGTGATTGGGTGTAAGCGGGAAATAGAGATTTGAGAAATGACACGAAAAAGTTGGGAGTGGCTGCTTGCACTACAGCGGAAGGTGCCTAGTGCATGGGTGGCCTAGTCGGAAAGCAGGTTTATTCCGTACTCTGTTCCGTACACCCCATTCGTAACAAGGCTGTCCATTGCTCGGGCGCAGCAATCCACACCTCTATCCACCAAAAAGTCAACGTCCACCACGAGAAACACAGGCGGCGAGCAAGGGTTGAAGGCTTGAACCACGTCGCTGCTGATTTGCTGAAGCGCCCGGTTTCCATGCCCATGACCATGCTCACTCGCCGGAGATTGGCTACAACGGTTGAAGGCGTGAAGCAGATCCATCCTACTTTCTTCGCGACGATGACACATCACGATGCAGCAGTAATTCGAAATCCCATCCATGGCCTAGAGACTTGCCGAAGGCACCTGGGCTCGATCGACAGAAGATGAAGGAACAACCGAAGGAATTATTGGAGTGATCTGGCGCCCAGCCGTGCAAGATTGTCACCCAATCAGACGGCGACGAAGGTGCAAACTTTTTATTTCTTGCATTGATCGTTAGGAGCCCATGAGTGGCAGAGGCACCAACGAACGAATGAAAGCCATACTGTACCATACGGTCCATACCGTATCGGCGTCACCTGTAGCAAAAGCTTCACCTGGTCTCATGGCCACGCAGCCTGCCTGCCGAGGGTCTCAGATGGTTGTCTGGCTAGCACTGGAATTCATGCGATCCCATCCGTAAGCGACACAGGGCGACGAGTGGTCTTCTTGCCCAGCGTACTGGGCGCCACAACAACACGCAAACAGCCACCAACTGCGACACACATCCACTCACGTATGGCATGGGCTGCAATAGTCGGCTCGAATGAAATGGTATGACCCAGCATAATCTGCAGGGACGGAGCACCAGGAGGATTGTGCCCGCGACAGGCCTGTATTTTCCCAACGCCCGCCTCGCTCACAGTCCAAGTCCCCCAGACGCACAGACTCGGAGTGAGAAGACCAATCCCCTGCTGTTTTGCGGCCTCTGCGTCACAAAGGTCATTCGGACCCCAGCAGCACTAATTAATGGCTCATACAGTGGTAGTAAGCACCGCCTTATTTCATACGCCGTAAATTATCTTGCTCGAAGCCTCGAACTACCTAGTCAGTCGTTCCTACTAGTTCAACCAGGTTATCGTCCCGTCTGGGAACTTGGGAAGCCGGCGTAATTCTGTAAACTAAACTAGCCTGCGCCGGAACTAGTAGTTGATATACATTCTCGTCTCCCCCTCCTCAAGCGTCACATCACCAACCTCACTTCTCAACATCTCTATTGCGACTCGACCTCCTCCACCACTCTCCTTCGTACCTAACCGTCGCGTCTAACGAACTCTTCCTCTGTTCTCTTACCCCAAGACATCTCTCTTCACAACACAGCTGCACAATCCACACCGCGGCAACCTGAACGACGACATTTAATTCCCAGGCATAACCATCCAGAGGATATTTTTGGATCCATTTTCTTTGTGTGTTCTTTGGACCATATTCTTAGGACCACTTGCCCATTCAAGGGAATTTTTGACTTCGGTTTCCATTTTTGCCATGTCCAATGCTCTATTGACACTGCCACCATCTCCCCAAGGAATTTCCTACGGACCACAGTTCCGGAGCTCAGTATCACAACCGCCATACAACTCGCCTCTTACTCCACCTCACACACCTCCGCAGTCACAGGCGCCAGCCTTGAGGACTCGTGCGAGCTTACGCCAATCGAATACCCTTCGCCTGAAGGTCCCTCCTCCACCCGAATCACGTATAGGTATATTCCTTGGAAAGTCGTTGCAATTAAAGACAATATTGGGAACTGGTGCCTATGGTGTGGTTTATTCTGCTTTCGACTACAACACCTTGACCTGGTATGCGGTAAAGGCCCTAAACAAATACAACCCAAATGGAGAACCTTTGGACAAGAGACAACGGGACTTCCAGTCTAGGGAAATCCAGCTTCATTACGCCGCCTCCGTACATCCTAACATAGTCTCTATGCTCAAGATTGTGGATGACCCAGAATGCACCTTTGTCATTCTGGAATATTGCCCGGAGGGTGACCTTTTCTCGAACATCACCGAGAGAGGCACATACGTGAGTAATGATGGTCTTGTCCGGAATGCCTTCCTCCAGATCCTGGATGCTGTTGAGCATTGCCACCGCTTGGGAATATACCACAGGGACCTCAAACCGGAGAATATTTTGGTTTCCAATTCCGGCATGAATGTATTGCTTGCCGATTTTGGACTTGCGACTACCGAACCGGAGTCCGACGACCACGGTTGCGGATCAACCTTTTACATGAGTCCAGGTAGGCCTTGTTGAACCCTTCCCCTCTTATCATCTAACCGTTCTCGTTCCATTTAGAATGCCTGGATCAATCTTCAAGGAAGCCATCATACCGATGTGCACCAAACGACATATGGTCCCTAGGTGTGATCCTGGTTAATCTCACATGTGGCCGCAATCCGTGGAAACAAGCTTCGGAAGAGGATTCCACATACCGAGCTTTCAAGAAGGACCGGAATTTCTTGAAGTCCATTCTTCCACTGTCGGATGAACTGAACGACATTCTAGGTATGGTTTTTGAAAGCGACCCACAGAAAAGGATCACAGTTGGCCAGCTCAAGCATCTCATTTGCCAATGTCCCGGTTTCTCGGCACCAGTCCAGCCTCAACAACTACCACCACAATCCCCAACTTCACGCAGCGTGTCTTCCAACAGCTCCAGCGATTCGTATGGCTCCTCCAACGAGTCAATGGTATCGTCGACCTCGTCGATATCATCAGATGGCTCTGACTTTTCCGCTTGTGATTCTCCGATGGACATCGAGCAAGATTTCCGAGGCGACGTACCAGTTGCCACCAACGGACCAAATCAACGCCACCCACCACAAGTCAAACAGACATACGTTATTCCCTCGCATTCAGACTTCCAACAACAATACTACCAGGGCCCAACCAAACAGAATTCCTTAGAGCAGCCATGGATATACGACACTTCTTATGATCAGGTTCCCCCTATGTGTCAGGCCCTACCTGCTTTCCACTCCGCTTTCCATCATTACCAGTTTTAAACGGTCTTTGGCCGTAGTTGGGATTTCCCAATGGCTAAGCTTTGAAAGCTTTATGAACTTGTCAATGGTCTCGTTACATTTTAGATTGTCTTCCATTCTCCCTCAGGACACCCGGAACTACAGTGGTATACACTAGGACATTGGTTTCCACACCCATGGTCGCATCAGGGATTCCGTACATATACCGCCAGGGGAAACTGGTGAACCATTGGAATCTTCCACCTGAGGATACATCCGTCTGAGGGTCTCCAACCCACATCAGACCCCAAAATTTGAACCAAATAACGAGCAGAAGAAAAGCACCTCGTGGATTTTCTGTTCCACTCAGCTCACATGTCGTTCTACTGTATATTTTTCGTTTTGTTTAAACATTTAGCACGGCGCACAGGATAAAATGGTGGTTGGTCAGACTGTTTTGGGCAAAAGATCTGATTTATATCTATCTTACATAATTTTTATTCCATTGCGAGGCGTTTCAATAGAGCTGGCATGCTCCGAGATTCGGGAGGTTGAATCAATTCTTTGGTTGGGAAAGCATACTGCAAGCGAAGACGCATGCTGTGGAGTACATTGTCTGGGTAGACATTTTTGTTTTCGATTCTGGTGGAACCATTTGGTCGATGAACATTTTTATTTGCTCAGTAGGAGGATACCCAGGGGAATACGTTTAGAAGCAAGATGATCATCAATGTTGAAAAGGTGGCTCACTCGGCTAGTGATGGCCTATTATATACGTTTTGGGGACCAGATAATGGTCTCCTACAATATTGGAAAGGAAAAAGAAAGATTTAGTGTACATTTATTTACATAACGAGATTTACGAAGAACTCGAATAATGACGAGAAATACAATACCAGATTCACATCTTATAAACAATGTATCTTCATCTACTTGCAGCTGTCGTGACATCGACAAATATTAAAATGATGAAGCTTGATTAATTTACTTACCCCTCCCTCCCTCGTCCTCAATTCAGAGTCGACATCAGCTACTACTATCGCATCCTCGTATTTGGACTTTAGCCGCAAAGTACATAGCATCACCAAACTTCCTGATTTCCTTTTGTTGAACCATTCGGCTTACGCCCCGGCATGCACACATAACGCCCCAAATTATCTAAATTACGCAGTAGCGTTGTACTATACAGTAGCTTGGCCTTGGCCTTGCATGAAAGATATAGCTTCGATTCAGCTCCCTGATAGGCGTAACGCTTGTCGCCACCGTTCGCCTTACTTTTGGCCCTGCGCTGGACTTGGCTGTGTAACCAATAACGGGCAGTCCTTTGTTCTGATGAAATCTGACATGCATGCATTTACTGGACAGAGAGAGAGAGGGTACCTGTCACATGCTTGGGGTGATTGGATGAGATGGATGAAGTGGATGAGGGATAAGTAAGTCAGCACTCTGGAATTGCATGCGGAGAAATATCCGCTGTTGGTTGTTCACCCTTTTTTGCTTGATGGTGTGTAGTGGTGGGTGGGTATGATGGTAAGGTACCTAATAAAGTAAGCACATAGCATCAAAGAAGGCAAGTAAGTATAATACAGTACGACGTCGTGTGTCAAAGCCGTAGGTAAGCACAAGACAAGGTAGGCAGACTCGGGCGGGAGTGGCGTTGCTGCCTCCACATCGACGTGTTGCGATGGAAGTGAGGTCTCCACGTGAAATATCACTGTCACTCAGAGCGTAGCCTTGATGGTGAAAAGTCCACAATTTCTATTCTCGTTGTTTTTGTGTACCGTTGTTTTGTTGTATCTAGGCAAGTGCAAGCAAGCAGGCATGTGTCGAGGCTTATTGTGGAAAGCTATGCTCTAGAACTTCTTGCGAATTCTACGTACGTAGCTACTCGGTGTTTCCCGTTGCTAGGATCACGAGGGCTAAAGCCTTGCTTCTCGTGTGTATCAAATTTTCTCGTTATCATGCCGATGATCGATTTTGTAACTCGAGTGCAGTCTAGAATGAGCATGTATATTTCAAGGTACTCAGTAGTAGTAGGTACAGGAATCTTGGAGGTGCAAGTGAATCGATCATGTGTTACAATGAATTTTGATCAGAGGTCTAAAGATGAACTGCCTTAGAACGATCATGATACTTCTTGTGGCTCTAGAGAGGGCATCTATCCCGCTCTGAAAGGATAGGGTTGCGGCATAATGAGCTCTGCGATGTCTAAATACCTAAAGGTGGTCTTAAAAACTCGCAAGCTCGAAAGATCAGACCTAGCCACCGGATTTCCGGTTGGAAGGGCGAGAGATAAAGACAAAACATGAAGAGAAGTTAGAGCCAGTGCAAAGTTTCATATATCTATTATTCCCACACTTTATCTTGGCCTAAGTAGGAGAGCGTCGTTTCGCTGTAACTCTTCCTATTGTTCCCCCTTTCCCTCTCGCGTAAATCATTGCCCGTACTCCACTCCCTGAGTGTCGTTGATATACACAGTAACACACTTAACTTTTGGATCCCGCAAACACGTGTAACGGTCCCGAGCTCCTTTCACTATTATTATTTTTCGCTTTATCTGGCGAGTCATAGACTTTGGGATGCTAAGAGCCTCAACTCAAAGCTAGCTAGAAGTAGTCCTTTTGAGGACCGCACGCTAAAGTTAGTGTCACGTGGTATATGAATCCGCGAGAACACTGTATAACAGCTGGAGTACCATAAAATTACGGCAGATATTTGCACGAAATTTTCTTATTGAAAAATGTTCTGGGTTGACTGAGCGCAAAAACCTTCGCGCCCTTATTAACGGTAAATGTGGAAACCGGGCCCGAGATTTACGACATATAGTAAGTATTCTAGAAAGATGCGCCAAGACATAATTTAAAGGTCGGGTATCAGCTGCATATGCTAATATGACTATATTAACATCACGAGTCTACCACCTTCTGAGAAGATTATTACTCATAGAATGCTATTGTGACATCCAGAGCATCACGCTCTGACTCAACGCAAATGGAATCGTAATAGATCGGTAAAACTCCTTTTCCTAATCATGATTATATCAGTAATCTTCGAATTAGCACCTTTCGGCACTCCATTCCATTTAATAATCACGTGTATAGACGACTACAACAATGCATCAAACACTTTCAACTGCTTAGTATGGATTTGTATCGCCTAGCTTAGGTGAACTCAAACCTCCCAGACTACTGAATACTCAGTTAGATCTCCCTTGCTATCCTTTACTCCGTAAAAGAAGTCCGCGAGAATCACGACCAGGCTAGTAATCACGAGGTCCTTCTCTTTCCCAACCTCCTGAATGATCAGGATCGAACATCAAACATGCAATATGAAGTCAGAAAGGAGTCAGCTCCCGTGTCCGGATTGCTGGTCTCTGGTGTCTGCGCGAGACTTCACATCGAGGAAAGTCACTTGTACACCGCCTCTTCAAACGTTTAGTACTAAGTTTCCCAACTATGAAGTATGATGAACATCTGTGCGATTGTGACTGGGGAGATGAAATCGGATCGCCGGGACATATGCGTTTGCATCTAAGGCATACGAAGTAAAATGGTTCTCCCGTCTTGTCCTGAATTAGTTTTTGTCAAAGCGTACACGGTGTGCCGTCCAAGTCGATTTGGCAAGAGCCGTGATTGGCTAGATTCTCACTTTGGGAATTCCACGGCATTGGTCGGTGCTCAAGCTTGGGTACAGGACTCTGGCGGCTTAGGCTGGATGCTCTGTCTCGGGACTGGAGGAGGCATTTGTAGTGGGTACAGTATGTGAAGTTGCTATCGTCCCGCATGCAGCTTATCGATAGTCCATCACATAAAAGTACCCCGCTCTATCTGCTACTGCAGTCCTGGCTACGTGATTCCCACTACTGGCCACGAGTACTCCCTAAAGCAACATGAAAGTCGTTTCCCATCCGTTGTGGAGGTCGGCTTTGAAACTATCTTCAGAAACAACCTAGCGCTTGCAGCTGCAATATCCAAATGAACACGCTGTAACATCAAGCCCACTACTAAGGCTAGCAGAAGGAAAGGCAGGTAGGACAAGGCATTATACCGTATGCAGGTCTAATAACATGTGAGGTAATAGGACAGTATTTGATTGCTCGGACGTTACACCTTATGATGCCAACCGTCCGTCACACGACATGACAGCCGCCGAAACGTGGCTGCCATTATTGCAAGGGATAATAAGGAAACGAGGAGAGACAGTAGTCTCGGTACGTGGGTTGAGATGGAGGGCAACATGCAAGGGAGAAATTGGGAATGATTTAGCATGGGATGAAACTTGTTTTACTCATATGGTTCATGCAGAGTGTCGGACTCAGAACTTCTGAGCCTGACTTATATTGAGCTACCCAAAGTGGACGATGGTAAAAGGCTTTTCCGACCCGAATCAGCTTTAAGAGTTTGCCACGAGCATAATCACGAGAAATGGTTAGGTAATATCAAAAGAATGACATGAAACCTGTGATTAATAACTAGAGCGGCCCTTTGATGTTTTCTGATTTGTATCACGCGATTAGAATATACAATAGAATATATGAAAGAAAGCCAAAAGATCCAGCGAGATCAGGTCACGTGAACTAATATGTCTTTGGCATTTTTATTGTTTGACAATAATAAACTCAAGATGAGCCTAACAAATAAAGAGCTCCATTTCACACTTTAGAGCTCGGTCTACTTTTACACCAATGCAAAACGTCTCTCCAATTTCCGTTCAAACTACTCTCGGCGGCGTCAACCCAAATTATTATTCAGTTGTCGACGAGTAGCTATCAGCGCAACGACCTCTTCATTGCTTCTTCCAACTTTAGCATCTGGATCTAGTATCCTAGCTTTTACACGATCTACATTAGCCTCATTGACCATAAACCATCCCATCGCAGCCAAGATCTTATGCCATGAGGGTTGGGGGAATTTGTAGCATGCAACCTAAGCTCAATGAAGAACTTGAATAGTGTGTAAGGGAGGACAAGGTTAATCAATCCAAATGAGTAAGTAGATTATAGCCATCGTATGCAAAGATACCCAAACAATTCATACCAACTTCAGTTGACTTGAATATGTTTAAGTTGAAGTCAGGTTAAAAAGGAACTCTTATTTATAAATGTAATATGTGAGTTGAGTATACCTTGTAGAGATTGAGTTCAGTTGAACAATAATCCAACTCGGCTTAACTTATTTCACCCTCGGTATAATCAATTAATCATAATAGAAAGGCTCAAGGTAGTTCAGCAATAGGGTTGCCTACATGACAATTGTTTGCATGTGCCTCACTCACATCAGTATGACCGTAAAAAATTTTAAGCCTCATGTGGAGTGTTAATCCATCAATATAATCGGGCAGAGAACTGCTAGCTTTTTAAGAAAGTGCTCTAGGAACCAGAGTTTAGGAGGCTTTTATAAGGTTTGGGGAAAGAGCCCGCTCTTAGCGAGTAATAGTGACTGCTCCTTCCCCTTTTAAGTTTCGCCTCACCAAATTTACCACGGTCCACGAAGGTCTTAGAAGAAAAACAGATTAGATCACATCGCACAATAAAAGAAATGTAAATCACCTACCTCTTATAAGACACATCGTCCCACTGCTCCCTCCCAATTTTTTAATTTTGTTACAACTTGCTACAACAACAATGATTCCTCAACAAGAAAGCTCACTTATCCTCGAGACCCCCCAACAATAACTCGATCGCATCGACGGAATCCGAGGTCGTGATATTTACGACACCTATAATATCGAAATACCATCCAAAGCCTCCAAAGGATCTCGATTATACACACCGAGAAAGCGGATCCTCATTTATTCTGCAAAGCTTGCAGCGGGTCATACACGCAGGCCCGTGCGACCACTCGTCGAGCCAACGGGCCTCTTTGAACCTCGGGGTCGAGGCTCTCCATCAACTGCAGTTTTGAAGTGGCTCAAGAGTATCAATCGCACTTTGCGCGACGTACCCCAAGGGGAAGAAGAGATGACCGGAAGACCATTTGGCTCCACGGAGCACCGGCCGTTACTTGGTAGCGGGTCTCGGAACAAAACAAAAAAGTCAAAGATCACTCTACGCCAGGTCAAAAGCGAGAGCGATGTGACAAATGGCAGGTCGCGTTCTGAACCAGAACCTGCATGGTATCTTTGGCGGAAGATAGCTCCAAAAACCAACAAGCACGAAGATGCCGACGATGATTTCTGCATACCACATCATGATAGCCTTGAGATTGCTAGGGAAACCCGCGACTCGACGGACAAGATGAGGAAACGCGTAAGGGCTCTAAGCGCATACCATCGAGGAAATCTTATGTTGAACGCGGATAATATTTCTGAAGCTGAAGATGAGATACGGCGGCTTGGGTGGCTCAATCGAATTGCTATGAGAGGTCGGAAAGCGATGCATCTTGCGTGATGTCCGATCTCGAAACTACAATTGCAAAGAATCATTACTTATGGCCCTTGACACAACTAGCAGGAGTACACTTTTAATGGCCTCGGCCTTACGGCAGGATCTCCTTTTGGCCATTGGTCATCTGAGATTGACTTTGTGTTTGTAAGTCTCTTATTGACATCTTATTCATGATTTGAGGCAATGTAATCAGAATTTGCAAAGTTTCCTTATTGATTCCCTTGAAGAACTTTAGGTATTGTTGTTACATTTCGATGGAGCATGGCATTATCGCCAAATGTAACTTCAAGTCATCGCACTATAAGCTGCACTGGAAGTTGGAAAGAGCAGAAGGATTAAGCTGTGAATTTTGGGCGGATGCAGACGTATTTAATTTTGCGTAAAGTGATATACGAATGCTTTCTGGTAAGACAGCCCTGTTTGACTCTTGAAACAACTTCAGAGTCCTCACCAACAAGCAGGGCCATAAAAAGAGACATTAATTGCGACCCGAAAGGGAAAGAGCGCCTTTCATGCTCCTAAAGAAGCGGCAAAAAGGGGAAGGAGCGACCCTTACCCAATTCGCCTGAAGGCATGGGAACCATCGGGAACGAGCGGCCACCGCAGCAGCCTAAGGTAGCTTCAGCTCTAGGAGCTAAAAGCAAACTAAGGGGCAAGTGCGACAAACCAACAAAGCAAAGAACACGTGCGACAAAAGGGAAGGACTTGTGCGCACAGCCACGTGACGGTTGAAAAAGGGGTTCGCCTAAGCTTTGCGCTAAAGTCTCTCCCGACGACACTCCATCAACACTGCACAGCCTGCCATGAATTTCGCGCGGGAATCAGCAGTTAATGGAACAGAGTTGAGCCCAACTAGCTCAGAAGACAGATGACAGATGAAATCATTCTCTCGAGTTTTCTAGAGGAAGTTTGGTGAGCTGAGAGGGAAATGGGCGCCCGAAATAGTCTGGACATATAAATAGTGAATGCGAGAGACTTTGACCTAACATTTGACCTCGTTGTCGCCTTGCAATACTACCAGAAGTGATATTCGTGATACTGATCCTCAGCTTCATAATTACCCAAATCAAGAACTTCTAAGCCCCGACAGATGCGTGAATGACTCGCGAACACCGCGCGTTGAGCCCTTGCGAAATACCATCAGGACCGAGGCTAGGTTCGGGATCTCGGTTATGCAATGTTCATTCGGGCAAAGTTGCCCACCGGCTGTTCGTGATGTCGCCCCAAAGGAGTTCCATATAATTAATATATTGCGAGGAAAGAAGTGGAAGCAGGACTCCCATTTACAGCCAGGTATGGATGAACATGGTGGGCCAACCCGAGACTCCGAAACCTCCGTGATTGCAAATTGCGACTATTTTCGTTATAAGTCTATAAATTAGGGCATCAACCCGCCCAAGACTGACTGGTAAGTGGTGACGCGAAGACTCTGCCATCTGACCATACGGTCCGAAACTTAGTGTATTCGAGAATGTTGGCATTGACATATCGTCTTCATTAATCCCAAGCTCCTGCTACCTGGGTAGGTGTTCTCGGCCTTCGAATCCATTTCACACCTTCTTTGGGATACATTCGTGGTTTTGTTGCAATTCGTATTCATAGCCCTAGGTCCGAACCCTGAGATATTCATCTAGGGCTTCCAAAAAGAATGTTGTGGATTTGTTGCACATTGTATTCAAGGACCTGGAACCGAAGACTCGAGATATCATCCAGACATCCATGATGAATATTGTTATTCTGTTGCACATCGCATTCGGGGATCTGGGTCCGATGCTCGAAAAAATTGTTTGGCCAGCCAAACAATAGGTATTGTGGTAGTTGTTTCAATACTACTATCTCAACGGATGAAAGGCTATTGAGAAGGTTTAGAAGAACGGCCAGCTGCTATGTATCGTCATCCCAAGATGAAGAAAGCTGGGTACCTCAATGATGCCCTAAACAATATGCGACCATGAAAACGCACCTTTGGTATAAGACGATGCGTAACTATATTCACTACAAACGTATGGGTACAGTGAATCATGTCAATGGTTAGGAAAATAAGCTATACTATGAAGTATTGCGCAATCAGACCTAAGAAGTGGTAGGGTTTATGCCAATGGCCAGGCAAAGAAACTATACTACAAGGTATTGCGCGATCAGACTTAAGGAGTATTAAGATGAGACGAGAGCAATAGGCGATACGTAAGATAAATCAAGATGTAAGCAAAAATCTCCTCATAGGATACTCAGTCTGAATCGACACAACTGCGAAGTGCAACAAAAATCAAATCATCTCGGTTTGGCGTAATTTATACGCTGAATGGGCCATCCAGATGCTCCAATTGGCAGGTTTTATGACGAGTGGGGCCGAGAAGGCCTCCGACATAGTAACTACCAAGCTCGAACGGCTTCTTAATTCGATGACACGAAGTATACCTCGTGAAAACTTTCAAGTGCCGCAATGAGCTCAAATATGGAGGAAAGGTTCGCGACTTCACAGGCCACGCATAAAAATATAAGCTAAGGAGAAGGAACCTTTGAAGCATATAGAACCAGTAGCAATAATGAATCACCCCTGATGCTACCATGCAACCTTGTACACGACTGGCCACACAGTCCATAAGTTGAGATATAGAATCACATTGACCTCATCTAGAAAGGAATTCTGTAGATGACTCTTGCGATAATGATATGCGAAGTGACGATGACAATCTGAGTGACATCAGAACTCCTCTAAAAGACCATGCTAATCCTAAGACCTGCCGGTGTGGTTTTGTAGCGCATGTCTCTCTAGCGTCTCTAGCCCTCGGATGTCCAACTGTCAACCTCCACAGGCCGCTCTCACTTTAAAGCTTGGTGCACGAATACACGTCAACTGTGAAATGCAAAGCTTAGCTGACGCCATATGTGCTCAGGCTTTGCAGGTTTTCACCGCTCCCCCATTGGAGCGTTTCTGGGATCCAGAGCGTTGCTAGAAACGTCGAGCATTTTCTGATGAAGTTGCGAATGGTCCGTCAAATACGAACCATGGCTTCGGGATGTTGGACCGGACAGAAATATGAATGCTTGGTAAAGATCATTCGGGCCGACCCCAGCGTGTCCTTCGTGGAGTTGAGAGATGAGTATGTTGGTCATTTGCGTCAAGCGTCTGTAGGAGCATAGGCCATGTACTGATGGTCCGAACCTCTTTTGATGAATATTGTAATATCAATTCCCCATTGCATGATTTTCGAAGCTCATCGCGTTTTCGGTTTCCGAATGATGACCTTGGAACCTTCCAGCTGCCAGCCGACACCATAGTATTTTGTCAGTGAAGTCCAGGTGGTGCTGACGTACTTCTCCAGGGATGGCTTGTCGATGCTGAGATAGCCCCGTCCAAGGCACTTCAGTGTTTGTCTTCTTATTCCCTCCTCAGCAAACTCCATAAGCTTTGCCTTGTACCCGTCCACGCTCCTTTTGACCTTCCAGAAAAGAAAGTAATTGTCGTGAGCAAGGGCACGTAGAACCGCATCCACTTTCGTGTCTTGTAAACCCCATTCCAGCCTGACAGAGTAAGCCTGAGCCAGGTCGTTTTGTCGACAAGCCAAGTCTAACACTAGATATCCAACAAATTCGTTGAGCTCAGTCTTCGCAAGCGGCTGGGTGGTATGCATCTTCTTGAGTAGATGAAGTATTGCTGGATGGTAGGATTCCATTTGCTTCACCAGAATTGATAGTCTGATACAAAATATATATGCTTGAATCGAAAAGTCGTCCACCCTGTTCGAGGCCACAATGCCCTCGCGTAACTTTCTCATTGCCATAATTAGAGTGGCAAGATCCCTTTGTCCCGAAATATCAACGTTTGCGTCGACGACCGTTCGAATGTTCGTTGCATTCTGCGGAATCTGTCGTTGCGCCTTATCGCTCCTTCCATTCTCCTGGGATATGTCCATTCGCGCCAGTCGTCGAAGGAGCTCATCACCGCGACCCGCATCCGTACAGAAGGCCATGTATCTCTCGACGATTTTTGCATGATATCGCTCTTGCGCTTTGTGGTCGAGGAGCCTGCGTGTGCCACGATCAATACATATCGACGCGGGGAACATGTGGGGTATCAATAAACAACCGCATGCGACGTACCTATTGTCTCCTTTCGAAGGCAGTCCCAGGGCCTCCAGAGGATCCAAATTTGCGGGTTTCAATCGACTCCATGGTGCTGAGTTTGCGCGACCTCCACGGGCCGACATTGAAAAACTAGAGAGGTGGGCGGTGATGGATGTGATGTAGTTGAAGCTGTGAGAAGGAGAAGAAAGGAGACGGGACGGAAGCCAAACGGCTCGTTTAAAATTGGCACCTCTCAAGTCAATCGGCAGCGGCGACCGCAACAGAAAATGCCCCGCGACTCAACTCTTTTCACTCCTTTTAAAAACACCAGATTTTCCCCTGTTTGATGTACGCTGTGCTGCGAATGATTTTGTATATCTGATTGTATTTTGTCACATAAGCAACTTCTTAAATGCTCGCCTCTTTCTACCACCAGATTAAAGCTACTCTCTCCCCTTCTTACTCGTACCACCTCATGTCAGCCCGCCAGCGACGCCCGTCGACGACCGAAGTCACGGAAGATGTCGTAAAAAAGGTTGAGAAAAAGATAGGAAATGCATTGACTGTGCTTTGGGATGACTTGCCAGCCTGGCAACGAGACAATCATTACATATATTCTGGCTACCGGCCAACCTCGGAGTCTTTCAAGAAGTCTTTCGCTAGTCTTGGCTACATCCACAACGAATCAGTCAATATATACTCTCATCTGCTAGGAGCAGTAGTCTTTTCCATAGCTGGAGTCATAATCTACTCTGCAGTCAAGCCAAGATATGAGACGGCAACATCATCAGATGTTTTGGCGTTTTCGTTCTTCTTCGTTGGGGCGGCATTGTGCCTGGGCATGTCGGGCACGTATCATACGATCTCGAATCATTCTCTAATGGTTGCCAAATTTGGTAACAAACTCGACTACGTTGGAATTGTATGCTTGATTACTGGAAGTTTTATCCCGGCTATCTACTATGGCTTCTATTGTCACCCACATCTGCAAGAGGTTTACTGGACTATGGTATAGTAGTACCCCGAGTTTTAGCACGGCGTATGCTTATTTATCGTACAGATGACTACTCTTGGGCTTGGGTGCACTTCGGTATCAATCTTCGAAAGATTCAGGACCCCAGCGTGGCGCTCATACCGAGCAGGCATGTTCGTGGGAATGGGGCTATCAGCAGTTGTACCAATCCTTCACGGTATCGGAATATACGGTGTAGAGGAAATGCAAGATAGAGTGGGAATGGCCTGGATGTTACTAGAAGGGTTCCTCTACATCCTTGGAGCTGGCTTGTACGCTGTGAGTTATCCTTTCACGTGATATATATTTCAAATTCTAACTTTCACAGGCTCGTTGGCCCGAAAGATCATGGCCAGGAGCATTTGACATTTGGGGGAGTTCCCACCAGATCTTTCACATGCTTGTTCTTGCAGCTGCTACCTCTCATTTGTACGGCTTAATGAAGGCGTTTGACTACCATCATACCACGCTGGGGCTCAAATGTTAGATCAAGTGATCCAGTAGGGTGATAGACCAAGGATAGATGTATTATAGGTTAGATTATAAGGAACCAGACTGTTCCGTGGTGGCCGTAGTATTGGCTATCTTGTATAAAACCCCCCTTATTTTAGTTTCCATTCCTTTCGAGCGCTATCGCGAGACATGGTTACCGCTTCAAATCTCCCGATCATCGTGTGGGGGAGGTCAAAGAGGAGTCATTTTCAACCTTAGCTTACGACGCATCCAGATTACGTGGAGATCCACTGGCTGCGCTCAAGCATATTTTTGAGGGGACTCTTCAAGCAGGGCATAATGGTGATGAGATATTCTTTCTCATCAATATATGTTGCTTCTTCAACTCAGATTGCCTTGGGTCTCCACGCATGCCAGTTGCTGAAAGAGCGACTAGGGATTCGTCTGCAAGCATGCTTACTTAGACTTGCCCGTTTGGACACTTTTGCGGGAGACAAATTGGTATTGACAATATGCTTTAATCTTGTTTTGGAGCGTGTCTAGAAGTTCATTGCGGTCTTTGACCTTGTCATTTCTGAATGTACCGTTGTCGACTTTCGCGGCGGCTTCCATTCATATTATGTCACAATTCTTCAGATCTGCGAGGGAATTAGACTTCTTTGTCGTCCCCGAGGATCAGCTGACCAGCTCGGAGTTGATACTTTGTTGATTCTAGCGGACTATCTTAATATCTACAATTTTGAAGACGAGTTAAGTACTGGGTATAAATGTATCGCAGAGACTCTAAGCCTATGGATACAGAATCTTAACAAGAAGCCTACAAGTAGGAACTGAACTACATGAGGTTCGGTATTCTGTGTTTTTTCTGAGCTCTGCTAACCAAAGAGCAAGTTCCTTCATTCAACATTAACGTAATGATAAGAGAAGCAACGTGCAACAAAGAATTCTTATCACGATCGGTAAAGCATCGGGTGTTGGTGCTTCAAGAAGTTGTCATAATCTCCACTACGTGAATATGTTCAAGCAAAGGCTAATATAGCATTCAAGGCTAGACAACCGTTATCAAGAAATGCGAAATGCAACGAAAACTAAAAGGGTGTTCAGAGTGTCTAGTCATCGGCGGAGAGAGTGAAAAGGGGGAAGTCACTTAAGCGAGGACTTCGAAGAACTTTGTCAGAACATTCCTATACCCCCCTTCCACCGCTTAGCTAGTTCCCTAGCTCATAATTGTTCATTGCAGGGTATCTGACTTGGCCCTATAATATTTATTGCAACTTGCAATAAAGTCTGCGGTTCCCTTAGGCAGAGTATCCACTCACCCTACTACGTCCAGCGCCATACCAACTCCCCCTCAAAAAAAGGGGTCTAAAAGCCACCACCAAGATCTATTTCTTTCTCCCTCGACACCAGAATTACTAAACTGCTAGAGCTTTCATCACTCTGACCAGGGCTCAGATAACCAACCCAGCTCACGTCTCCTAAATTGATAAACAATTTATGATTATTAAAGTTTAGGAAGAAATGCCAAAGAAACCGATGAATGAATGAACATAGACACTTGACAGCAAAGCAAAACCCAACCGAATCAAAAAAAAAGAATGAGATGCGCTCCCATCTTTGAAGGGCGCAACAAAGCTGACAAGGTCAAAATACCATTCTGACAAGATAACACACACAGAGACACAACGCGAATCCGCGGAAAGAACCCCGTCGCATTTCCAACATCGCCTTTGCTTGCTTGGTTGTGCAGTGGTATGCGGAGTATATTTATACTGTACAGCCAGCTAGTGAGTACGTAATGTACCCAAATACGCTTGGAAGCTTGTTCATATTTGGGACGAGCGATGGTTGAATTGGAGACTCTGGCAAACCAAGTTAAGTGATGGTTAGAATACCAGTGGATATGATAATGAATGATCAAAAGGGGTTAGATGAGGGACGTTTTATTCATACTGACTAGACTTTCCATTTAATTGCCTTGCATATGAGTACATGACTAGGAAACACCAGCACCTTTCTTCTGCGATATTGGTACCTCGTCCAGGACAAATGCTCGATATCGTATCTTGTGTGTGTGTGAGCTGAGTGGTCGGGGAATCCTGCGTCTTATATCTCCCCCGAAACCTGTTCACCCTCAGCCCAATTCTGCTGTGGCCAAATCTTGCGCCCTATCTTCTTCATCCATCCCAAGCTACCTCTCAGCCACCTCCCACCTCCACCTCCACCTCTTCCACCTCCACCTCTCCCACCTCCCTCTTCCTCTTCGCCTCCTTCTCCTCCATCGCCAACCTCGACTTAACCAACAGTCTCTCCAACCCCACTCGTCCCGCCTCCTCCCAATTAGCCTGCACAAACGCCTTCACAGCCGCTACATCATAGAACCCACGCTCATCCTGCTTGACCGCTTCAGGTATCACGCCTTGGAATTCTTGTCCTTCCAAGACGACGGCTTTGATGATTCGGATGGACGCGGCTCGGAGTTGCCGGTCGACGTCTTCGACGGGGATGGAGCCTTTGATGACTTCGCGCAAGATTTCGTCTTTGTGGCGGAGGAGCTTCCAGGAGGCGAGCTTTTCTTCGTATCTATAACGTGGAGTTAGTTTTGCATGATTGTAAATGTTTCGGAAGGATTGAGGTATTAGAAATGGGGTTGAAATTTTCAAACGCGTAGGGAGGTGGGGAAATGTTTACTCTTTTTGAACGCCAAATTTCTCGAATGCTTCGTCTCGGATTTTATTTCGGGTTAGCTTTTGTTCGGTGTATAGTCCCTAGTGACAAGGTATCAAGGTCAGTTTCACGATATTCCACGGAAATTGAGACAGTATTGTAGGAGCCATGAACTGTTGCTGAGATATCCAAAGTGCTTACTTGCCTCTTCTCGACATTTTGGAATGAAAACAGTGATCCAGTCATTAAAGATTGGCCGTTTCGCCATTCGTTGCCGGTCATTATGCTTCAACTTCTTCTTGCCCGCCTCACCCCCTTCCTGTCCCTCAGCTGGGAGGTCCCCAACAACATCATGCTCCTCCTCTTCCGCATCCTTCTCTCGAACCCAGAACAACTTACATCCTGCAGCGTAGTTGAACATTTCGGATTGAGAAGAAAATGGCTTCCACCACCTCTTCTCATCTATACCTATGAAGTTCAAGACTTCCGATGGCTTCTTTGTGAGGAAGACCATGCTTTTTTTGCGGTCCAGAAGCTCGATATCTGGGATTCGTAGGTAGAGGCCACGATCATTGACTGTAAGACCGAATCGTCGGATGGTAGAGCCAAGGATGTTCCACAGGTCTCCGTGAGCACTATGGAAAAGCTGGGAACAACCGGAGTCAGTATTGTTTGGAATGGAGAGCTGACAATGTCTCCTATGTCGTGAGACATTTATAGTATATAGGGACATCGAAAGCGGGGGAAAGTCGACTCACCTCCCACTGAAAGCGTTGGAGGGAGTGAATATAATGGATATCGATTTGAACATATTTCACTTCCTCCGGTTCCGCGGATTTGGGAGAATGTTCTATAGAAGGCAGGACAATCTGAGGCCATGGGACGGCAAGGTTGACAACTGACTGTCCATGATTCTTAATCACCGACACAGCACCTAGCACTTCCCCAAGCTTGTCCGCAACTTCAATCCATGGTCTCTTCTCCGGATCATAATCCTTCAGCGCGCCAGTCACGAGAACATCGACATCCCCATGTGTTGTCTTCCCAGGGGCCTCAATAGGACTCTCCACTTGAGTATAATGTTCGCGAAGAGCGTGTAGTGTTTGTTTCAAGACATGGTCGTAAACTGCTGGTGGCATGCGAGGTGTGGGGAGGGGAGAAGCATGCGATGCGAAGGCTTGGCCACCCATCGTGTGTGTTGTAGAAGATGATGCTCTTGACAATTTGAACCACTGAGACGACAGTCTTTTGCTGGGTAGAGAAACTGTAACTTATTTCCAATGTGGTAGGCGTAGTGGGGCATTAGGGGATGTTGAGTGTCGCTTCTTTTGACCGGGACGAACCTTTAAACCAACACAAAAGCACGATGTTGAGGTATCTTGAACAATTCTGCAAACTGGAACGCTGACGAAAAGATGATGGACTGAATGTACTAATTCAAGAGAGAGAACATAATTTTAAGATGAAAGCATAGGTGCAAACTCTGAGTCACATCTTGCGAGAAAGATTGGTGTTTGCTGGTGAGAGAAGCAAGCAAAGTGACAGCGGCCGCAATTTCAGCCAAGGTTGCCGTTGCCGCCTGGAGAGGAAAGCGGCGGCAGAATACATGTACAAGCACACAGTGATTATGTGGTACGGGGTTTCATAGATGAATTGAAGCTATTCACAGAAATGGATGCCACGGAATATGTTGTTGCCGGCCAGAATGAATACCATTCAAATATACTCCCTACTATTATAGGTACATAGGTCTACGTCATTCAGCCCTATGGTTGCGCAGTCAAACAAAAGTTTCAAGCTCTGGACACTTTGCGCCCAACCTACCCCAACACAACTCAATCTCGTAAGCAACATCTGCAATTCCTCATCTAGTCCGACTGTACAAGTGCGACCCGAATCCGAGTCAGAAGATGAAAACCCTCACGGGAGAAGTTTCTCCTACAGTACGCAATCTCTTTGCAGGCCAAGGCGCTTGGCAAGTGGCTGATTGATGTGCTGCGCAAACCTGACCGTTCGTGCCTAAGAACCAGTCAGCACTGCCCCTCTATCCCAGCTACTGCTCGAATACTGGATCACCAAGTTGGTAATGCGCCTTCACGTACTTATTATTAGTACAGCACAACCGGTGACATAGAGATCCTCCTTTGCTACCTACTTTCCTTTAATCCATCCTCCCTCCTCCAACTAACCTACACAACTCTTCCTTCTTTCAGCAGATTGTTCTCCAACGATATCTACTCTTCCGATGGCATACAATCAACCCCCATACCAAGGTGGAGGCTATGGGGCTCCACCTCCAGGCCGTAAGTCAAGAATTCGCAGTGACCTCAACAGCTGAACTGATGGATTGGCACGCAGAATATCCTCCTCAAGGCTACCAACAACCTCCTCCCCAAGGCTACCCCCCGCAGCAATACGGCGCGCGCCGCAAGGTCGTTAGTACACAAATGAAGGATTGGGACTGAAAGCTCGAGCTAATGCGCTGGAACAGAATATCCTCCACAGCAATACCCCCCTCAGCAAGGAGGTTACCCACCTCAACAAGGATACGGTGCTCCCCCACCACAGCAGGGCTACGGAGCTCCTCCCCCCCAACAATACGGCCAGCCCCCTTATGGCTCCCCAGCGCCCCCACCTCAAGGAGCTTACGGTGCCCCTCCACCCCAAGCATACGGACAGCCCCCACCACAGCAATACGGAGCACCTCAAGCATACGTTCAGCCGACACCTCCATCCCTTGGCTACGGGCCCGCTCCAAATATACAATGGGACCCAACACAAGACGCCGAGGCCCTACGAAAGGCAATGAAAGGATTCGGCACAGACGAGAAGACGCTCACCCGCGTACTCGCGACCAAAGACCCCTTACAAATCGACGTCCTGCGCAAAGGCTACAACCACCGCTTCGGTCGAGACCTCATCAAAGACGTTAAGAGCGAAGTCAGTGGCTGGTTCGAGACAGGATTGTGTGCTATTATCCGCGGTCCTTTGAATCAAGATGTGTACCTCTTATACGAAGCCATGAGTGGACCGGGCACAAAGGAGAAAGTCCTAAATGATGTACTTTTGGGGAGATCGAATGCGGACATGCGGGCTATCAAGGAAACATATCACAAGACCACCCACCGAACTCTCGAACACGATGTCAAAGGGGATTTGAGCATGAAAACCGAGCGGCATTTCTTGATGGTTCTGGCGGCGAATAGAGCCGAGGAAAGCGCACCTGTTATCCCACAACAAATCGATCATGATGTGATGGAGCTGTACAAGGCAACTGAAGGCAAGATGGGCACTGATGAATTGCTTGTATGCAATATTTTGAGCCAGAGGAGCGATGCTCAGATTAGTGCAATTGCGCATACCTACAGGCAGAAGTTTACTAGGGATTTGGAAACTGTCATTAAGAAGGTAAAATACACCCATTCCCAACCCCTAAAAGTCTCTCGCTGACTGACCTTTTCTAGGAATTTTCGGGTCACATGGAAGCAGCCCTCCTCCAACAACTCCGAACGGGCACCGACAAAGCCATGCGCGATGCCCTCCTCCTCGAAGACGCCATGGCCGGCGCTGGCACAAAAGATCACCTCCTCACAAACCGCGTGGTTAGAGTTCACTGGGATAGAAATCATCTACAGCAGGTCAAAGGCGCGTACCACCACCTGTTTAAGAAGAGTCTCACGAACAGGATCAAGGGGGAGACGAGTGGGGATTATGAGAAGTTGCTTGTTGCTTGTTGTGGTGAGAATTAAGCTGGTTCTGGTGGTTCTTTGCTCATTTTGGTTTTTGTATGGATGGATGGGGCTGGTGAGCGGTTTTTACTGCCGGAAAGGGATTTTCGAATAGGATAGGAATTAGGATAGGTGTATGATATTACGATAATACATGAAATTTGCTACTAGTCACTTTCTTGCTCGATTCGTCACCTCCTTTGTGTTTGTTAAAGGAAGTTGCAAGTGCTGCTAGCTTTGAGCTAAACGCTTGCTTTGAATATTCTACCATGTGTATTACAGGGGCAGAGAGATAAGTACTCGTACAACTACCGTAACTATATACCTAGGCAATATATCATTTTCCAGCATCTGAATTCCGGAAGAACTAAGTCAATTGAGAATTATATCGCGTGTGCACCGCCTATGATATTTACTTTCTCATTCAAACACTGTTTGCTTGCCTTACTTAGATATGTATCCTTTTGATCATTTTAGATATGTTAGAAATATAAGGGGATTAAGTAATATAAGTAACCTATTTATATGCGAGGGTCGATTTGCTGTGAATGTCAGAGATTCTCTACGATCCTAGGACTTGGTCACTAGAACGGTTCCGGCAGCCTCATAAAAGAAATCGTTAATCTTGTTAGGATATACGATCCGCTCTGGGATCCGCTCTAGGATCCTCCCTAACCTTTCTAGTTATATAATCTAGCTTATATAATCTAGCATAGCTTAGTTAGTAAAGAGGCATTACCTCTTTATATCTATAATACCACCTAAATGCTAAGTATTATTAACTAGAATTAAGTCTATACTATATAGTAGAGAAGTGATCACATTACACGTATTAGCACCTGTAATACTAATAAATCTCCTGGAATTATCCATGTAATGTTATACCGCTTTATTATCCTCGCTGCAGCATTGTCAAGCCATGAACTTTGACTGCAATACACCATAGAACAGTATTTATTACCGCATATACTATCTGTTTCCTCTCTATATTTAAAATGTCTGCTAGTTGGTTTCTATGCTACGTCGTCTTCAACTATAACGTCTCGATACTACATAGCACTAATACCTACGTTCCACATACCGGGATCGATGCTAATCGAAGATCTAGACTTGTTTAGGGTGAATGCATCCAGCTGCTGTGTTCACTTCACGCCTTAGAAAGTAGGTATGATATTACCTTCATTCTATGTGATGCATTTCCACTAAATTACTTTTCTCTTTTATATAGTAACCTTTTCCTAGCGCATCTATTAGCTGACGTCGATTGAATGATTAGGTAACCTTACATAAGGGAAGCCTGCCAATTTCCCAATACTCTATTTTTAAGTCACTTTGTTTAATTTCGCATTTTACTCCTACCCCTCTATCGCATCATTTTGTTTCGTCTCCAGAGAAAAGGGCCTGAAGACGCCTTCTACACTTATTACTCAAGAGTAGATATGAATAGTTATATATCGAACAGCAGTGCTTTGTCACTCATAGTAGTTTCAAAAGATTAGAATGATATCAAGTTAACAGTGAAGAGGTTTGGGTTGTGTGGTTTTTATGGGGCTAGGACGGTGGTTTGTTTATGCTGTGTTATCAAGGGAAGCGACATGTGTCGGATGGAATAGGAGGCTGAGAATAACGAACTTGATAGGGAAGAGGAGACCGTTGTTGATGGGGAGGTTTGGTGTGGTATTTTATACGAATTCCAGAAAAGCCTGTTCGCGATAGATTACAAGGGGGGGGGATATGTTTGATTAAATGGACGCTGGAAATGGCGAACTGGATGGGGAAGACGGTATTATCAAAGGGAGGTTTAAATAGTAATTTATACGGATTCTAAAAAATGTAACGCTTGTTAGAAAGCGATTTTCATATATATCATATCTTGAATTTGCACGCGGTACTAATATACTATGTATTTCAAATACTACTATTTCTCTACTATAGACTAACTTGGCGTAAAATTCTTTCAAATATAAAAAGTATTTACTGCTAAGTTTTTAGAAGCATTCTTTGTTTGGAAGCTCTTTGTTGCGCAGAATGAATCCATCCATAGTAATATAAATCCCATCTTTATGATAGCAAGAATAACCGGAACACATTTCTTCCCCTTAAGAATAGATCCACTTGGAAAATATAGCCTGCTTCGGCCTAGGATACTTTTGGCGTAGCGTTTGCGCTAGTATGATAAAAATATTTTAACCTATCTGATGCATAGACTAGCTTTGTATTCTTTGGACTTTGTATTTGCACATACTTTCTAGAACCAGACAGCCAGACAGCTAACAACGCTTTGTTATGCTGAGATTTGTATGGCAGCGGTCATAATTTAGAAAGTGTTTTACTTTCAAACATATGTTCTTCATCGTCGTCTGGTAAGTGAATCAGCTCCTCATTCTTCCCTTCGAATTTCGACTTCAGATGCGTGTACGGCAGCCTATCATGCGTCGTTTCAAAGCATTGATTCGAAGCCAACTCTATCTACTACCTCAGCTGTGCCCGATCTCCTCACCATTCCGTCGTCATCAATGTCCCCTCAAATGCTCAGTACTAATATATGCTATAGATAGCATCACACTTCCATCGAATCATCGAAACCAGTCACAACCTCAGTCATCTATAATGCTCGTCGACAGGAAATTTACCCAATGATCTCGTCATCAAGTCATAACTTCACAAGTAAGAATACAAAGTCTTTGTTTCACCATCATCGACTTCTCTAGTCAAAGCAGTGAGTGAAAGCGCCCAACGTCGATCTGCTTTTTCCAACATCTTGGTTTCAGCCTTTTACTTTCTAACATCTATGATCAAACATCAGCTATTGAACTGTCTTCCGTCCGATTTACATTCAATGACTAACACTATCGCGGTCGGCAGGTCCACGCTAAAGCTACTACACTCTTTACATCGAATTGCAAAACCCACAACAACCGATAGTAGCTAGCGCTATTTGCTGAGACAAACTCGTCGAAAACCTTCACCCGTCAAAGAGTACGAATCTACGAATACGTAAAGTTTATCAACGGTACGAAGAGCGTTTCCATATTCTCAGCGGCATCATGCCAATACGGTCCAGTACAACCAATCAGGAGCGAGGAATAAGCGAGTACCTAGTAGTGTTCTTACTTTTACGAAGTAATACTGTCAAGTGACTATATTTCAAGTTCGAAGATACCCGTGAAAGGAAATCCCAGTCTTTGTGCCAAGTTTGTGTTTCTTTGCATTGGTTGCTAGCCGTAAATATTGGTTGTTAACAATTGATACGAAGTACGCTTTTGGCCAAGTTGCCAATGCTAGTTCATCAAGTGTTTTGAGTTTGGATATTTTCCGGTATGTTTTTCAAGTTTAACGGTGTCGTCACAGTATCATTAAATAAGGAGTGAAAATGATTGAACAACGTGGATGGGTCTTGCTAGCGCACGACCGGGTCCTAAATTAGGTTGATTTGTCTCACTCTTCTGGAACAAATAATGCATGATGAGTCAATATGCCACTACCCGCGAATCAGAAGGGTTGTATGGAAAGGGGCAAACGATATATTATTACGTTTGTCTTAATAGCCGATTAAACCTTGATTAGACAGAGCATTTGATTGGCTTAATTAAAGCGGCCCTAAGCCCTTTCCCGAATAGGACCGAGCTTTTATAGCTAGCGCTTCGTCTTTGAGTTTGTGGCTAGGACGTTTGGAGTTTTATAAGCTAGTGTCATAGAAACCTTATAAGCCCGGATATCCCTTCTTTGTCTTTATCTAATTTTTATCAACCCCAATTTATACGGCACGTTGTCGTTGGGTAAAACGCGCCTTTAATAATAAGATTCCGGATCTGCAACCGACTATGTAATAATTGCCTTTTCTCACTTCTAAATCCCTGCATATGCACGATGGTTACAAAGTATTTGAGATTAATTTTACACGATTTGATTAGATGATTAATCTGGGTAGTTTAGTGGATCCAGGGCTAATAAAAGTTTTTAATAGGGAAGCACGCTAGCATCGACTTGCGACAGCTGGCTTTTCGGCATTTCTCTCCTACATATCCTGCGACGAAGACCCATCAACACTGCATCCATCGTACGGAATATTCACTTAAACATGAATATCACTACTTCGGATCCTTCGCAGCGCCAACCAGCAATAACAGCTGCGATGCCGAATGAGGCAGAGATGCGGGACGTGGAACTTTCGGGTGTGGATGATGGAGATCCCAAGATCGCGACCGGCAGCGGCAACGGCAGAGGCACAGCCAGACCCACCAGTACCACCGATCCGATGACTGCAGAAGAAAATCTAACGTCACATGATGCAAATGCAAATGGAAACACTCACGTGGTCATCAACGGGATCGGGCTGGCAAATGATTCTGCATCCAAGTCAGACGAAACCTTGATCCCTATCGTACCTGCCGTACCTACTGCATCTACACAGAGTCCGCCGCTGCCAGTAAGAGAAAATGGCGACTTACCCAGATCAGAAAGTCAAACCCCTCAACATCAACACGTACAACAAATACCACCACCTCCTTCCCCTTCCCTATTCGTAACTCCAGAGAAGGAGAAGCGGCACCTTCATGAACTCCAATCCGCCAAAGCCGCTGCCGACTCCATTAAAATCGATAAAGAGGTTGCACAGTTGAATGAGCACATCTTAGGGGCTTCTTCAAAGGCACTCCAGAGACTTTTGCGCGAGCACTGGAGAAATTTCCTCTTTCAGGACGCCAGTTTAAATCATCTAAGCTTTATATTCCGAGCTCTCTTGAAGAATACGTCCGTTGAGGTTATGAATCACGTGGGAGATACCCTTGTTTTCAAAGACCGACTGCTTGACCTTGCTAGTAATAGCGAGGCGGTTATCCAAAAAGCCCTCCACAATGCAAGCATCCCAGAACTTCTTGCGTGCCTCCCTCCGCAAGAACTAGACAAGGTCGTTAGCCATCGCCTGAAGACGGCGCCTGCGAAGACTCTTATTACATGGCTGGCCGAGAATGATAGGCTTGGATATCAGATGGATGATATCATTGAGGATGGAGAAACTG